CACTGAACCACAATGCTGACCCCTGGTCACTCTTCTTAATGGGAGGTGGGGGCTAAACAGGGATGAAGGTAGAAAGCTTAGGTATATGTTGTAATTATGCACATGAAGCAATATGTTTAATGCTAAACAGAGGTTGCAGTTGCTCTAGGAATATAGAGAAGGATTAATGAAAGCTATAAAGTAGTTGAAAATGTGGAGTTTAGATTTAGTAATAGAAAAAGAGTCATTGAAAGTGTTTGGGCTTGGGCTTGCTAACCATGAAAGTGGCACTTTTTTTTTTTTTAAAGCTGTTCTTTTTTTTTTTTTTTTTTTAAATTTATTTATTTTAGAGGTAGAATTACAGAGAGAGGGAGAGACAGAGAGAGAGAGGTCTTCTGTCCGCTGGTTCACTCCCCAAATGTCCGCAACAGCCTGAACCGGTCCCATCAGAAGCCAGGAGTCTTAAACTTCTTCAAGGTCTCCCTCAGCAGTGCAGGGGCCCAAGCACTTGGGCCATCTTCTACTGTTTTCCCAGGCCATAGCAGAGAGCTGGATTGGAAGAGGAGCAGTTGTGATAGAAACCGGTTGTTGGTTCTGCAGGCAGAGGCTTAGACCACTATGCCACACTGCTGGCCCCAGTAGCACTGTTTTCTTTTGGAGTATATGCATGGGCTGGAGGTAATTAAGTGGAAGGGGTTGTAAGAAATCAGTCCTGGAGACCAGCTAGGAAGCTCTTGGAATGAAGTGAGGACAGAGGGCCTGACATTTCTTAACCAGATTTTTATAACAAGATTCCTCAGAGCTTCCCATGCTGTTTTTAAATTTACCAGCATCTGTTCTCTTACACAAGTGGATTTCTGTCATCACCATCCACTAATAGGTTTCTTTCTAAAGTTACTGATGATCTGGCCAAATCTAATGGTTGTCTTTTTGTTCTCCAATCTTAATGTACAACCATTGCAGCCACCAGCTCAAGTACCATCAAAGGAGGCATTTTTGGTTTTACTACCAAGAATGTAGAGTTTAATTAATTGTTTTTTTTTTTTTTTTTTTTTTTTTTAAAGATTTATTTTATGTATTTGACAGAGTTACAGAGAGAGGTAGATCAAAGAGAGGTGTTCCATCTGCTGGTTCATTCCCAAATGGCCACAACAACTACAGCTGGGCCAGGCCAAAACCAGAAGCCAGGAGCTTCTTCTGGGTTTCCCATGTGAAGAGAGTTGGGCCATCCTTCGTTGCTTTCCCAGCCACAATATTAGGGAGCTGAATCAGAAATGGAGCAGCTGGGACTTGAACTGATATCCATATGGGTTGCTGGCTCCGCAAGCCAGGGCTTTAACCTGCTGTATCACAGCACTGGTCTGAGTTTAATAAATTTTAAAAAAAACACCAAGTTCCCACTTTTTCAGTTTTTAGAAACATTTTATTGAGTACTTAAAATCTGGTCTCGTAGAACTTAAGAATATAAGCACAACAGTGGGATAATTCTTTCATGTGATGTCTTTGAAGTCCAGGGACCCTTTTCTTTCCAGTCTATTTAGATCTTAACTTTCTTTAAGGCTTAGCTGAAGTTTGCCCTCTCTACCTCTCAGGGCTAAAGTGCATGCTGAGCCTTTATAGTACCCAGAGTTTAAGTTTGTCCTTCCATTCAGTCTTCTGTTGTGTCTGATCTTCCTAATTGTTCTCTCAGTTCCTGGAGGAGAGGAATCTTATCATACTTCCTGTTTGTATTTTTTTTTACCTGAGCATAACTCTGTGCACATGTGTAATTATAAGTTCTTGTTAAATATGTTGTAACATGTTTTAAGTACCTACTTGTTATATATTTATTTTTAAGTGATGTTTTGAATTTGAGAGGCAGAGAAACAGCCAACAGATGGAGACAAATAGAACTCCCATCTGCTCATTCATTTCCCAGTGTCTGTAGTGACTGGTGGTGGGGATCGGAGTTGGGGACAGTCAGGAACTCAATCCATCTCACCCACATGGGTAGCTGGAATCAGGAGCTGGAGGTAGGATTGAATCTAGGCACTTTCATATGGAATGTGGGTGTCTTAACCACTAGGCCAAATGCCTGCCTGTTGTACATTTACATTATATTGCAGAGACTCTGATTATTGGCTCTGGAAGGGAACAGAAGTAAAAATGCTTTTAAGTAGGGGACATCTGTAATAACAGTTATATTCCAGTTTGGAACATGCTTTTATGTTAACCTTTTTTTTTTTTTTTTTGACAGGCAGAGTTAGAGAGAGAGAGACAGAGAGAAAGGTCTTCCTTCCATTGGTTCACCCCCTAAATGACCACTATGGCTGGTGCTGCGCCGATCTGAAGCCAGGAGCCAGGTGCTTTCTCCTGGTCTCCCATGCGGGTGCAGGGCCCAAGCACTTGGGCCGTGCTCTGCTGCCTTCCCGGCCACAGCAGAGAGCCGGGCTGGAAGAGGAGCGACCAGGACAGAACCGGCGCCCCAACCGGGCCTAGAACCCGGGGTGCCGGCGCCACAGGCGGAGGATTAGCCTAGTGAGCCGCCATTATATTAACTTTTAAAATACATTTAACTGTCTACTCTGGGAATTTGAACAAAATAAAGCTCTACTCAGTGGAGGCTTTATTGAGGCAGATAGGATGACAGCATGGTATAATAGCCAATGCTTATTGAATGAAATGTGAATAATAGCAACTACTATTATTGCTGTCACCACCAGTAGCTAACTTTTATTGAATACTTAGTATTTGCCTGGCACTGTTCTTGATACTTTATATCAGTGAAGTGTAGGTACTATTTTAATTATCATTCTCATTTTATAGACAATGTGTGGTAGAAGAATTACTGAATTGCATATCACGAAATCCAGGCTCTGTTTTTATTTCTGCTGTTGGACTGGGAGAGCCTGTGACTTGACTGAACCATAATTTTCAATTGATGGGATTAATATCTAGGTTGCTTTCTCCCTTTTTAACATTGTGTGATCTCTAAATTATCCTTTCTTCTTTTTTTAAGATTTATTTATTTGAAAATCAGAGTTACACAGAGAGAGAGAGAGGTCTTCCACCCACTGGTTCACTCCCCAGTTGGCTGCAACTGCTGGAGCTGTGCTGATACGAAGCCAGGAGCCAGGAGCTTCTTTCGGGTTTCCCACAAGGGTTCAGGAGCCCAAGGACTTGGGCTGTCCTCTGCTTTCCTAGGCCATAGCAGAGAACTGGGTTGGAAGTGGAGCAGCCGGGATCCCAGGGATACCAGTACTGCAGGCGGAGGCTTTACCTGCTACGCCACAGCACCGACCCCCCTGTCTTCTTTTTCTACAAGTTCTTACAACTTAACTAAATCTTAGGAACAAACATTTCTGGCTGAGATTGTAGAGTAGCATGGTAAGGTGGTGGTTTCCCCCTACCCCCACGCCCCATCTCTGAAGGTGCTATAGAGAGTAATTTAAAGTTCAGGTTTCAGAAAGATGTGTGCAGTGGATTTGAGGAATTTGAGAAAGTGAGACAGAAAACTGAGATTAGAATATCAGAAAAACAAGACAACATTACTCTCTTTAATGGCCATACAAATAGAATCCTGATGGCTGTCTCTAGATTTATAATTGTTATTTCTTAATCTAGTTTACTTTATAGTGAGTTATTCTCCTCCTAAGATACTTCTAGACTAATATTATTAACTAATACTTACTGAATGTTTTTTCTGCAATATGTGTTATCACATTTAATTTTAAAAGTAATATTTTAACTATAGGTACTGTTATTGTTTCTTTTTAGAGATGAGAAAGCTGTGATTTAGAGATTAACATAGTTCTGGAGCTAGTGACTGCTAGAGTAGTACTTGAATTCTGGTCTTCCCTTACTTCAAAGCCTCTGCTCTTATGCCTCTTCATTGTCTTGTGCCTCCTAGAAGTTCAGAGCCAACACACTTCTCAGGATGTTTTTTGTTAGGAACCATTTGGACTGTGGGGCCTATTTGGGGTTTTCTTGGGCACAGTTGTTTTCTTTTGTCCAGGATACCTTGCTTTCATTTTGCTTTCTTTCCCAGTCTTTTCATTCTTCTCTACTTGATTGTCAGGGTCACTGTTTCCTGTTTCTTTGATTCTAGTATTGAATGGCTTGTGTCCTCTGTTGAAAGTTAACATTTCAGTGTGTATTCTGTACTATTATCTTCAATTCTTAGAGCAGCTTACCACCTTTTTAGAATATATGCTAACCTGGCAAATTTTGTTTTCTTTCTTTTGAGTAGTAATTGTTTGACTTTTTCAGCCTTGGAGAGAAGAACATTACAGAATCTAAATTGCCCAAGCCTGTCCTTGATCTTTTAATTTTAATGCTCCTTTTCTTGGTGATCATTTGTATATTTAATGTCTTATATCCTATACTGCTAGAGCTTTAGTTTTCCTAAGCTTGTTGCCTTGTACTGCCTATTCTTTTCTCTTGCTCATCAGTGTCCTTGACTTTGCATTCCTCTTTTCAGTCTACTCCCCCAGCTAGCTTGTCTCCTTGCTATTCTTGTCTACCCTGCTTTATTCTTCCTACCTCCCACCTGCTCAACTCTACCTTCTTTCTTCCGTGCAGATTCCTGTGCCTTTTTCTCAATTACTTCTCTGCCTCCAACTTACTTTTCAGATTTCTGTGTATTACTTCTCTAAAATTTGTGTAAAAGAAATGTCAAATGTATAGTGTTTTTAAGGACTTGTGTTGGTGGGGAAAGAATTGGATTGCATTCTTAGTACTTCATATTAAGATCTTGTTGCAGATGTGGATTGACGTCTGAATTACTTTGTGTATATATAGTGTTCTGTATTCTAACCAGGTTTAAATCCAAGTTTATTATGTTTTGGAGAGGAAAAATTTAAAAAGATTGGAAGTATTGATCCCTTAACTATTTGTTTTGGTTATTAACATACTCAATCTTTTTCCTCCAGATTTAACTCAGGCTTTCCCTCACTCTGGAACTCCTAAATTGTGAATGTTGGATATTTTGAGAAGCAGGGGTTCTTTCCTTGATACTGACTAAGGAGTCTATTTACCTTCAGGATGACATCTGAACTGGAGAGCAGCCTAACATCTATGGACTGGTTACCACAGCTCACCATGAGAGCAGCCATCCAAAAATCTGATGCTACCCAAAATGCTCATGGAACAGGAATTTCTAAGAAGAATGCACTCCTTGACCCAAATACAACTCTGGACCAGGAAGAAGTCCAACAGCACAAAGATGGGAAACCTCCATACAGTTATGCCAGCCTCATTACATTTGCAATTAATAGCTCACCCAAGAAGAAGATGACTTTAAGTGAGATTTACCAGTGGATTTGTGATAACTTCCCATATTATAGAGAGGCTGGCAGTGGTTGGAAGGTAAAGGTTTTATTTACATTACTACTTTTATGCAGTAAGCAATGACTATAGTATTGATTTTTCTTGAAAAGAAAGCTTTGTGGAGGTTCAAATATTTGAAGGTAAACTTCTAATTGCTAGTCATTTTTAGGATGTGAGAAATTAAATGCTTATACTTTAGGGGAATAACTTATTTTTGGTAGACTTAGTTTATTAGAGCCCTATGTTGTAGGAATGACACAGTATATAATAAGTGCAGAGATTATGCAGGATTCATTGGAAAACAATACCTTAGAGATCAGGTAAGTAGATACATTGTGTCTAAGGGAAAAAAAATAGCATAGTACTGCAACTAGTACTGTACTCATTGTCTAAGCTTTTTTCTTTTTTTTTAAATCCTTATTTTGAAAGAATTTTAGCTTTGTATAAGAATTAACAAAAGTAGGAGAGAAGGTTCCCATATATGAGGGGTCTTCAAAAAGTTCACTGGAAAAGTTTATAAAAACTGCATGGATTTCAAAATTTTTTTTTTCACCATAATAAACTTAATCTTTTAGTTCTTTTGTGAAGTTTTTGACATGCCTTTATATATTTCATTAGCTTACTCTAATGTTAACATCTTATATAAACATAGTTATGGTTACTCAAAAATAAGGAATTATTATTGTTGGTATAATACTGTTGACAAGAGAGTACTATTAACTACTAAAAAAATTACATGTTTTATTCAGATTTCAGTTTTTCTACAAATGTCCTTTGAATTCTAGGAGACAATCCAGAATCCCACATTGTGTTTAGTTGTTCCATATCCTCGGTCTCCTCCAATCTGTAGTTTCCTTAATCTTCCCTTGTCTTTTGTGACCTTGATATTTTTGAAGAGTATTCATCAGATATTTTATAGAATTAATTTTCCTCAGTGTGAATTTCTCTGATGTCTTCTGAATAGACTGTGGAATACATTTTTGGTGAAGAATAATACAGACATATGGTACTGTTCACTGTATATCATATCATGCTATTAGTATGCAGTATGTCTTATTATTGGTAATATAAATTATGACTTTTTTTTTGTTAGGGTGTTATTTGCCAGATTGCTTCAAAATAAAGTGACTATCACTTTGTAAATAATAAAAAATTTGGGGGAGATACTTTGACAGTATGAAAATATCTTGTTTCATCTTAAACTTTGGCCCATTAATTTTCATATTCATTGGTAGGTCATAACTGCAGCAATTTTTGTTGTTTTCTAATGGTGATTTATTTTCCTTCATTCTTTCTACATTTATTAATTGATGTTCTTTGTTCCATTTTATTCAATGATTTATTTATAATTGTTTTCACTCATGGATATATTAATTTTTTAAAGATTTTATTTATTTATTTGAGAGATAGAGTTACAGACAGTGAGAAGGAGAGACAGAGGAGAAAGGTCTTCGTCCATTGGTTCACTCCCCAAATGGCCGCAACGGCCGCAACTGCACCAATCTGAAGCCAGGAGCCAGGAGGTTCTTCTGGGTCTCCCATGTGGGTGCAAGAGCCCAAGGACTTGGGCCATCTTCTGCTTTCCTAGGCCATAACAGAGCGCTGGATTTAAGATGGGCAGCTGGGACTAGAACCGGCGTCCATATGGAATGCTGGAGCCACAGTTGGAGGATTAACCTACTGTGCCACAGCTTTGGCCCTGTGGATATTAATTTGATTCTTTGCGTTATCATTGTCACTCAGATTGTTGCTTCTTTGGCTGTTGTGAGCTCTTTTGGGTTGGCTCTGTTGTTTTGTCTGTCTGGCACTTTATTACTTTTTGGCAGCAGAAGACATTCAGGGTCTCTGTACCTTCCTTACCTCAGCCCTGAAATCAACTGCTTCCTTTTTTTTAATTTATTTTTATTTTTTATTTTAAAAATTTTAAACACAGTTTTTAAAAATATTTATTTATTTAATTGAAAGCATTACAGAGAGAGAGAGGGAGAGAAAGAGAAATTTTCCATCTGCTGGTACATCCCCAAATGGCCACAATGACCAGCTTGGACTAGGCGTGGTCTGGCTGAAGCCGGGAGCTTCATCTGCACCTCCTGCGTAGGTATAGGGACTTGGGCCATCCTCCGCTACTTTCCCAGGCACATTAGCAGGGAGCTGGATTGGAAGTGGAACAGTCGTAACTTGAACCCACACTCATATGGGATGTCGTCATTGCAGGCAACAGTTTAACCTGCTATGCCACAGTGCTGGTCCCAATCAAGCACTTCTTTAAGGAACCCCTTGATATTAACTAGTTATACAACAAATAATTGAATTTACTTTCTTTTGTTTCTGCCTATATTCTATGCTTTTCTTACATAGGAATTACCCAGTTATATGTTCTGTGGTGTGTGTACACACCTACACGAAGAAGAGAATTTCTAAGGGATGAAAGTCTACCATGAAATGGTAGTTACTCTTTAGTTTCTCTTAAGCCTTCCTGCTAAACACTTTGTGTGTTTTTCATTTGACTAAATTTATTAGACATTTGCTGACATAACCATGTGGTGTCAGTAGTGTGCCATATAATCGTACTGAGGGAAAGAATTGTGCCTCATTGAGTTTTTTTGTTTTCTTCTCTTCATTTACTCACACATTGTGTATCCATTTAGTAAGTAAGCTTCAGTAAATGCAGTTTGAATGAGAGCATAAATCCTGGTCCTAGCCTTTCTTTTCTTTCTTTGATTTATTTATTTGAGGGGCTGGTGCTATGGCGTAGTAGGTTAAGCCTCTGTCTGCAGTACCAACATCCCATATGGGTGCCAGTTGGAGTCCCAGCAGCTCCACTTCTGATCTAGCTCTCTGCTAATGGCCTGGGAAAGCAATGAAAGATGGCCCAAATACTTTGGGGGATTTATCTGTTTGAAAAGCAGAGTTAGATAGATAGGAGAAGACAGATTTTCCCTCTGCTGATTTATTCCCCAGATGTCTGGAACGACCAGGGCTGGGTCAGGCCAAAGCTAGGAGCCCAGAACCCCATCTGGGTTTCCCACATATGTGGCAGAGGCCCAAGTATTCGGGCTGTTTGCTACTGCTTTCCAGGCTGATTAACAGGGAGTTGAATTAGAAATGGAGCAGCTGGGACTTGAACTGGTGCTCATATGGATGCCTGCATCTCAGGCAGCAGCCCAACCTGCTGTGCCACAATGTGCCCCCTTAGCCTTTCTTTCTAAAAATGTTACTTTTTGCTTCTTTCTTCTCATATGCTCATTCTTCTGTCCTTTCTAGCTTACTGTAAGTAACTACTTTGATTTCCTCTTTGCCTTTGTTTTCTTACTGGACTTTTTCTTTTCCCTTTTTCTAGTTGGCATTGCTCCATTGTTCAGCTTCTGTATTACCTCTTTTCTCCTTGTAGAATTATTTCTTTTGTGTTTTTGTATGGTTTATTAAAAGTAGTATTATAGAACTCAGAGATTTTTGTTCAGAGCTCTTGTTTCATTAGTTTTTGTTTCTGTACTCAGATGAGAGCTGCTTTCATTCTTTTTTGTGTGCCAGACACTATACTAGGTACCCTACATTCTTGTCTTCTTAGGCTACACAGCAACCTTATTAAGGAGATAATATTATTAATCCAAAATTTAAAGGCAAGAAAATGGAAGCTTACAGAAGCTAAGTAACTTTCCAGAGTTTTTCAGCTAGAGAATGGTAGGATCAAAAATCGGTACAGGATTAGTAGATTTTAGCAATCATGTTCTTAGCCATTTTGTAGGGCTTGTCATTTTATAAAAACATAAACATTTATTGAATTTACTAAGATAAACTCTTAACTGGTTGATAGTATGAGAGATGGTTGTTACTGGTATACTTAAGATAAAATTCACTATAACAGAATATTTCAGTGGAGGAAAGATACAAAATCTGACCCATGAACCAATGCATCATTTTTAGCAAATAGTAGTGATCTTGTCTAAGCTGTGTTTTCTGGGTTTACCACTGGGCACTATAGACTCCTTTTGTCAAAATTTGGTAAACCTATTTTGATAAACCTGTATTTGGTGGAAAAATATAACAGCTAAGGAGTTGAAATGACTAAAATTTGAATAAGTGACATAAAAGAGTAAAGCAAAAATGGTGCCAAACTAAATATTGCATGTCTAATTAAAAGGAATGGTTGTGTTCTCATGACTTGTTGCTGTTGAGGGTATGTTACAGATATTCTAGCCTTTCCTCCCCCTCGTGCAAGAAAATAAATGTGGGGTTTGTATATATATATATTTTTTTATTTTACAGATAGAGTTAGACAGTGAGAGAGAGAGAGACAGAGAGAAAGGTCTTCCTTCCATTGGTTCACCTCCCAAATGGCTGCTACTGCCGATGCGCTGCGCCGATCCAAAGCCAGGAGCCAGGTGCCTCCTCCTGCTCTTGCATGTGGGTGCAGGGGCCCAAGCACTTGGGCCATCCTCCGCTGCCTTCCTGGGCCACAGCAGAGAGCTGGACTGGGAGAGGAGCAACCAGGACTAAAACCGGGGCCCGTGTGGGATGCTGGCGCCGCAGGCGGAGGATTAACCAAGTGAACCACGGTGCCTGCTCTGTATATAATTTTTAAGTGTTATCAATTAATTCTAAATTTCTTAATTGCCTTGCAAGTCAAACATAAATCTTTTGACTAGGATCAGCCTAAAGTCTATCAAAATGGAATCTGTATCCTAGAGCCTGTCCTTTGCTTTTCATTTAGTTTTTTCATTCATTAATTTGAAAATTATTTAATATCTATTTTTTTAATTGCTCACGAATATATTCCTGACTGGTCTCTGAGGCCTAGTCCATTGCACAGTGTCAGAGGGTGCAGAAGCAAGGTCATGTTGGGGTTTTCAGGAGGGACCTTGCCAAGGCAAAGTTCTGATTTGACTGCTGGAGGCCAGACTCCAGTAGCCATCATCAACCCTGGGGCCTAGGTGACCTCATAGTTGGGGTACTTGGCTTTGATCTTCACAGTTGAGACAGTGCTGGGTACAGCCGTAGTACATGGAGAAGCTATATGTGTTGATGTTGTTCCGGCTGTG